TGAAAGTCAATGGGCTCCAAAATACTGGACATTGTGCGAATTTATATTTGTCCCTCACAGCCTTATTCATGTTAAATATGCTGTCCAACAAATTTTTGATGATTCAAAAATACTTGAACTAGAAATAATTAATTGCAAACTACCGCTCCATTTAATTCCTGTACACTTTGAAGATAAACGCTAACGCTTCCTCTGTTTCAGTGCCGTCCATAGCAACGAGAAGCACAGTTTAAAAAATATTAATGAACTATTTGCCTGAAAAGCACTGGATCGAGATTCATTATCACAAAAACTGACCAAATTACAGAATTTTAAGCATTTATTTTTTTTAAATGAAAGAACTGTTAGCAGTGCTCATTTTGGGGTTTTCTCAGAGAATAGAGAATCTAAAAGGACCTTTCTAACCCTACGAAGGCAGACAGGCTGTAATTTGAGCAGTGAGTGGTCCGCTCAGGTATAATAGAGGAGTCCTAGCAAGAACTGAAATGTGCTTTATCTTGATGCCAGAGCACTTTCTGCCCAAACAATCCTAGACAGCCTTTTCTAAACTTCAAGTGAACAGTAAATTATAGCAGTTATATTGTCCTCACCTGAAAGGCAAAACCTGCTGCTACAACCTTTCTATCTTGGTCTATCTTGCCTGCTTTTGCCATGAAAAACAACTGTTTGGTAGGTTCTTGCATCTTCTCTGCTTATAAGATACATTTCAGTTACTATAACAGCTCTGCATGACATAAAAACACACTCCTCTTTTGGCTTAAACACATTAGCAGGATGAGTACTTCATTTGACTAGATGGAGTAAAGTCTGTCTAAAATTAGAAAGAAAAAAAATCTCATTACACTGAAGCAAAAAGGAAAAGTGCAATGTGCTCGGAGATTACAACTAATATACTGTAAGAGAGAGAGAACAAATAAGACGTAGAACAAATAATACAAGCATTATTTGCTTCATTAGCTGGTTAATGCAGTAGAAACTAAAAGAGGTCCCGTTTCAGAGTCTTTCGTCATCTGATAATGTCGCAGCTGTAGGTGAGTGAATAAGAGCTATTACTACTGACTGAGTCTAAAACAGGCAGCAATTTCAATTCCTGATTACATGGGGGGAAACAGTGTCCATCACTTGTCACTATGTCTATGAGCATCTCAAAAGATGCAGCTGAAGAACAGGAATGCTTTTTCCCAGAGGGATACAGAGGGAAAATAATCAACAATACAAAAAATAAAACAAATATTATATTACAAAATAAAAGATCAAATAATGTATAAACCACTAATTTCTCTAAAATAACACTCTTTCAGAGGGAGACTGCAACTGCGGACTACTCTTTTTGCCTCCCTTGAGCTCATTTTTGTCTCACTGACAAATATAGGCAAAAAGTCACATGAGAGGATATAGTGTGTCCACATTGCTGTGATTGGCGACACTGTAAAAAAAATTAAATAAAAAATACATACATACCTACATAAAATATTAATAATAATAATAATTGTCTGCCAGGACATTATCCATTAATTTTTTACAGACATTTCCATTAATTTAAAACACAACAGAAGTAAACAGAACACCTGTAAAATAATAATAATCATAATAATAATAATAAATAAATAATACAGAAAATTCCTACATATTAATACAGTACATTGTGCCCTATTTTTATAGATTTTTTGAGTGCAATTGTTGAAACCACATGATTGGCTAAAATGGATGGATTAATTACAAAGAAATTAACTCTCACATTCACACTTTATCATTTTAAGTAATGTCCAAATCAAAATAAACTTAAAATCACTTGAAACACAAAATGAGCTGCAAGTCATCTGGTTTTTAGCAACCACTCTGCATAATAATAATAATAATAATAATAATAATACCCAAGTAACAGCTAGTAGTAATTTTTTTTAAAATATTGTATTCTACTGCATTAATGTAATTTTAAAAAAACTTTGATGTGATTTATTTAAAAAAAATAGATTTTTAATATACATATATAATAATATTCTAATATGAATTGCTTGTTGAAGTCCCTGCTCTCTGAAAAATAACTAAAATAAATTAATACAAATAAAAATATAACGAAGCTGTCACTGTGGTGGTACCCTTTCAAAACTTACTAATATACAATTATTTAGGTACTTGTAGCATTTAGGGGTAAATAAGGTACAAAGATGTACCTTTTAGCTTTTATACCTTAAGGTACCACCCCAGTGACAGCTTTGTACCTTTTTTTCTGAGAGTGTAGTGTAAGGGAAATAGTGTTCCATATGTCATGTACCTGGGAACTTTGTAAAATATCAAATGTAACTGGTAAATTAATTTATATTGGACTGAAGATAAAACAAACTCTGAGAGAGAACTTTGCCTCTTCAGAGGTTTACCACACACCACTGCTGAGCAATGTGTTTCAACTTACAGGCTCATTCACAACAGACTGTAGCACTGGTTCTGTTTTGTATTTTCTCAGGGCAAAGAGTAAGCCTGGATTTTTCATGGAATCCCTTGCAATAATTTATGTAGGATATGGGCTTTTGCATTATTTATTAGTAAATGCATTGGAATAAACTTTGCTTTTGCCAAAAATTTGTCAAGTATATATTTCATTGGACATTGTTGGTTCTGCTTTGAAAAACAAAAACATTGTAAATGTATTACAGGATATAAAACATCTTGTCATATTGTGCAATAGTTTGAAAAAGTTAGAACAGGGAGCTTGGAAAGTTTTGTGAGGTTTTATGACTTCCAGCCCCCATTCTTTCAAGTATTTATATCATGTTGGGAACCCAACTGGTACATCAATATTTCTTGCACTTCTCCATTTTGATTCCAGCAGCGTGAACAGATGTAATTAGAGATGTAAATCACAGCGGGGTCTTTAGATGTATGCTAATTAAAAGGTGTATTTACAAAGGAGGGAGTGTGTATGAGTTAAATACACACCGGATGCCGTTGGGACTGTATCTGTGTTTAGTAGTACTACATTCCACAGAGACCTGCTTCTAACTGTACTTTCTGTCTGACTCAAACTTTGAGTGCAACAAAAGGCACTGGAACAACAGTGTTCGCCAAGTGGATTTTGAAGGAGAAGTTTCTAAGACTGGAGATAATGTCTGAAAAATGCAATAATAATAGTGTGATGCAAGCCAACTTTTGTAATCATATTTTAATAGTAGGGTTGTTTCAGAACCCATTCTTCTGTGGAGCTACCTTAATATGAATTATGCAATTGCAAGGCTGATAAGTCATTGATGCAACTGTCAATTTGAACTTTTTTCCATTGTGAAACATTTTGTTTCAACTAGTCGGACTATAAGAAGCACTGCATGATGTGATTTTATAATTCGCTAGTTCGGTCTCCTGTAAATTCTTAGTGGTAAAATCACGCTCCACGTGTCTGTATATTTAATATAAAATATGTTCATGATTGGATGTGATTTTGTTGTTCCGGACTACAGAAAAATATACAGTGTATGAGGAGTAAAAAGGCTTCTTTGGATATCTGTCATTGAGAAAAACTTACATTTTAGCAGATTCATAGGAATTATGGAATGATTTCTTCAGTAACTTTTTAAAACCATAATTTTGATAAATAATAAAGAACATACACACTGTTTGTTTGGACAAAGTGAGTAATCTGAGAATCACATCGGCCACATCTACACAGCTGCAGAATAGGATAGTTACATTTCAGTATAGAGTATACATTTTAGTTTAGTATACTTTTTTTTAGCCCCTAACCCCAATCCTATGCCAATCCTAAACCTAACTACTTGGGGAATGATAATAATAATAATACTTTTGTTCAGCAAGGACAAATCAAATTGTTCAAAGGTGACAGAAAAGACATTAGTAATGTCACAAAAGATTTCTAATAAATGCTTTTCTTTAAACTTTGCATTCAAACAATCCTGAACAAACAAATCATAGTTTCCACAAAAAAAATATTAAACACGTGGATCTTACAAACCACAAACTTTTCTGAGCTCATTAATCTTATTGATGAAATACAATAAAATCAACCTTTTAATTCCATGAATTCAATATTCTATGAACATAAAATGATTCATAAACATTTGGACATCTCTAAAGTCACCCATACACAAAATGCTAATGTTTTAAACATATGAAATTTGCAACGTTTTAAACATATGAAATTTGCAACATATGAAAATGTATGCGTGCTGGAACCAACAATGCCTACAGTATGACTTCTAATGAGATCATGAGATCACAGTTCTGATCACTACTAATGAGATCACAGTTCTGTTATAAACCGTTCCGATAAGCTACCAAACAGCAAAGAAATGACCATAAATGTAAAGGACAGATGACTATGTGTTGGGTGTGTGGTTGGACTGGTGATGTCTGTGGGTGCTGAGAAACGTCCGCTGTGTCTGTTCAATTGTTGGGCCACACAGCAGTGTTCCCAGATCTCCTGCAGGAGGCGGACAGAAATACTGCATGTCAATGGCATCTGTAAACTTGTCTGACAATGTTTAAAATTCTCTGCAACAACAAATTGCCAGAGGTTTATTTATTTCCTTATACAGACAGAGATTGGAAGGCTAAGCTATAAGAAGACAGTTGAAGTATTTGTGGAAGTTCTTGTTCTCTCTTATGCTGCAGAGAGGATGTCCTGTCTTCTGCCTGACCCTCAGGATGCCTCTGAACCACAGACATGCTGCGGTCACGGTCAGCAACGATGACTAATAATGAACAGAGGAAAAAAGAGAGGGAAAGAATGAAAGACAGCAAAAGAGAGAGAAATGGTCATGATTTCCCCTTATCTTGAAGAAAAAGCAGTGATGTGTGAAGCTGAAGATGCCTCTGAACATGCACAGACTCAAACTCGGTCCTTTGTGGATTGCAGCTGGCCTCTTCAGGCATAAACACATACACACAAACTTTCCCCAATGTTTCACCCCTAGGCAAAACTATAGACTGACCGCACTTTGTTTTTCATGGACAGTAGTTTCATGTTGCTTTTGTGTTTTTGTGCCAAGGTCACGACTGGCTGATTTCCACACAAACTGTCAGATGACCCCTCACTCCATCAGCAGCTGCCTCAACGATGACTATCAGGCCTGCCTTACATCTTACACCAGACTCATTGGTGAGCCATTTTTTATATAGAATTCTATTTGGGATATTGACAGTGTTCGAACTATACCGTGGACTTTGGGGGAGCCCACTTGTATTTTTTTTTAAAAACCGGGCGGGGGGTGCCTCAAAAGGGGGCTTACAATGAATTACAAAGATACATAGCAGCTACAAGTGTATGCACTACTTGCTTTATGCAAGCACTATATAGGATAAATCACTATACAGGATTTACCCTATTATACTTTATCGACACGAATTGATAGGTGAAACAACAAACAGCCACCCACAAATAGTCT